CCTACCTACCTATCTATCTCCTTTCTCTGCTTCTATCTGCCAGCTCCTTCTTTCCTCACCTACTGGCTCCTGCAATAAAGTTACACTATGCAATAAAAGCAGCAGGCAAAAAAAACAAACAACCAACACAGCAGGCAGTGACTGCAGCCAGGGAAGACCTCCTTAACTCCTTCTTCACCAAACTCTATTGTAGCTTGCTACTGAGTCTGTATTAAAACCCGTCTCTCTCTTTCTGTGCAATAGGGTTCTTGTAGCCTCTATACCTGACAGGCTAAGTCTCTCCTTTTCTTTCACAGGACTCCAACCTCCCTCGACTACCCCAATCCCTTTTATCCCACTTCCTTTGATTTCTGAAACTCCCATTATCCTTAAATAAAACTTATTAACTAATACTCATGTTTTCTTTCATATCTCATCCCTGGTCTCTAAAACCTTATACAAAGACTACATATATGAAACTGGTTCAGATACTCACAGCATCTAGCTTAGAGAATTTAAAAGATAAAAGTGCTCAGGAAAAGCTGGCTGAGTATGAGAAATAATGAATAAATCTATAAAACTTAGTTTTTCTGCGTATTTAGCTTCTCACTACCATCAAGTCATCACTGACTCTTAGCAAGTGAGTTTCTCTGCCCCTGTGAGTTTCTGAATGAAATCTTTAGGAGAGTAGAAAGCCTCATCTTCCTCCCAAGGAGTTTCAAATAGCTGACCTTGTGCTTGGCAGCCCAACACAGAGACCGCCTTGCTACTGGGCTTACAATGCTTTATGTGACAAGTAAGAGTAGGATCAAGGGGACAGCTTACCCCAAGACGACAAAGAATTAACCATTTAAATAAGGTATATGCATCTCCCTTATACTCAGTAGGCCTGCTCACAATCATAGTGAAGAAAAAAAGCATGTAATTTATTCAACATCCACTTTGTCAGCTCAGGCTAAGATCGGTGCCATACCATGTCCAACATCACTCCCTCACTTCCACTTGAGGCTGTTTTCAGAATGGAAGCTTATAGCTCAATATTCCACCTTAAAGAAAGGGTTCAAAGCCCTGTTACATCATTTGGAAAAATTATTCACTTCTGTTTTATAGGTGTTTCTTTTTTTCTCCTCACTGCCTTAAAAAACAAAAAAAACCAACAACCAAACCTTCATCTTCCCCACAAAACATTAAGATGGTGATTAATGTTTGGTCTCTATGAGCTGGATGTGGGGGAATTAGCAAAAATATTACAATTACAGATAAGTATATCACCAGTAACACAATGTTCTATCAAATTCTCATTAAACATTTAGAATCATCCAGGGAGGGAGAAGAGGGAGAAAGGGGGAACCCATCACAAGGTTGAATATATATCTCCCACCACCACCTGAAGGGGACTAATAACATAAATGTGGGAGAAGGGAGACAAAGGACAGTGTAAGATACAAAATAATAACAACAATATACAATAGATCAAGGATTGATGAGGGTGGGGGAGGGAGGGGAAAAAAGAGCTTATACCAAGGACTTAAATAGAAAATGTTTTGGAAATGATGATGGCAACATATGTACAAATATGCTCGATACAACTGATGTATGGGATGTTAAAAGAGATGTAAAAGTCCCCAATAAAATCATTTTAAAAAAATTATACTCACGATTGAGATAGTTAAGGTTTATTGTGCCAACCTGACCGA